CTTCCACTAACTGGCCACTTTATTAGAATCATTGATTAGTTTCTGACCACTGGCCCACTGTTGTCCAGATATTATTCGGCTGGTGGTTCTTTCTCACTGCTAGGTCGAGAGTTGTCCACCAACCAAAATTATCCAGAGCAGCTCAGTGGCCAGAAAGACATGGTGTGATTACTGAAACACCTCCACACAGACGCGCTGTCTTTAAGGGGGTTTTTGGCTCTTTTCATGTTTTCCAACTTAAAGCTGTCTTTCATGTTTAAAAAAATCTTCAGGAGAAAAAGCAAAATGTCAGCAGCAGAATTTTTATGCAGTCCTTTCATCCTGAGCACATTTAGTTCACACACAGTAAGACGGAGCACGCCCACACCGCCTGTCACAGGTTCGGGACACCCTGTGTTCTTTGGAATTTAAATCTGTCACTTTCAATTAGATAAAAAATACCTGCAACAGTGTTGTTAGCATTGCACGGCTAGTTTCTAGTACTGTAATGCTAATATGAATAGCTTCAGCACTCAGCTTCATGTTATTAAGTTTCTTCTTGGCCTAAAGAGCAGGTTTATAAATAATGATTTGACAGTTTTTCCTTCCAAACTATTGTTAAAAGCTCCCATTGAAACTCTGGTAACACTTTACTTCAACTCTGCTCCACAACATTGACCTCCTGGTTCTAAGTATATATATACACATCTGTGAAAGAATGGGTCTAAAGAGCTCACTGGATCCAAGTGTAGTGCTGTAATAGGACGCTACCGCTGCAACAAGTCAGTTTGTGAAAGTTCTTCCCTCCTAGATTTTCCTCGATCAGCTGTGAGTGTATTATTGAAAAGTGGAACCATTTAGGAACCTCAGCCACGAAGTGTCAGACCACGCAAAATTACAGAGCGGGTCTCCGAGTTCTGAGGAGCATAGAGCATAAAAGTCTCCAATGCTCTGCTGATCAATATCTGCAGAGTTCAAACCTCCTCTGGCATCAACATCAGCATAAAAACTGCACCAGGAGCAGCGGCATGCAAGCCATACGTCACCAAGCACAGTGCCAAGGGTCGGATGGAGTGGAGTAAAGCGCCACCACTGGTGGAGCAGTGGAAACGAATTCTGTGGAGTGACGAATCAGCTTCTCTATCGGTCAGTCTGATGGACGAGTCTGGGTTTGGTGAATGTCAGGAGAACGTTACCTGCCTGACTGCACTGTGCCAGCTGTAGAGTTTGGTGGAGGAGGGATGATGATATGGGGCTGTTTTTCAGGGGTTGATCTAGAACCCTTGGTTCCAGTGAAGGGAGATCTTAATGCTTCAGCACCGAGACATTCTGGACAATTGTAGCTTCCAACTTTGTGGGAACAGTTTGGGGAAGAACCTTTCCTGTTCCGGCATGACTGAGCCCCAGTGACCAAAGCAGCTCCATAAAGGCCTGACTAGGTGAGTTTGGTGTGGGAGAACTGGACTGGCCCTCACAGAGTCCTGACCTCAACCCCATCCAACACCTTTGGGAGGAACTAGAACGGAGATTGTGAGCCAGACCCTCTCGTCCAACATCAGTGTCTGACCTCACAAATGCTCTTCTGGATGAATGGGCAGAAATTCCCACAGACACTCAGACATTTTGTAGAAGCTTCCCAGAAGAGTGGAAGCTGTTAGAGCTGCAAAGAGGGACCAACTCCATATTAATGCCTATGGATTTAGAATGGGAGTCATAGAAGCTCTTGTAGGTGTGATGTGTAGGTGTCCCAATACTTTTCTCCATATGAATGGCTGAATGCAATCCACTCCTCGCAGCAATGTTCCAGCATGTAGTCTAAAGTCTTCCCAGAAGAGTAGAGGCTGTTACTGCAGTAAAGGGGGACAAACTCACTATTAACACCCTTCGTTTCAGAAGAAGCGCTGGAGTCTGCAGACTTTGGGACGGATATTGTGCTCATGACAGTGACAATATTTGCACTCAGATTAGATGGCCTTCTTGTTTCCATGGTGAAATCCTGCTGACCGATCTCACTGCTTCTTCTCCAGCAGGTAAAAGAGACTGGTCTGCATCTTCACTTGGCCTTCACTGTCCATTACGTAGTCATGCATCTATTTGATGGATGTAAGAAACAAACAAACAAAAAAAGACAAGCTCATTTGTATTTAAGTAACATCTGGAAAGTTGCATGCGACAGTTTGGTGCCCCTGGACAAGCGACAGTAACTGTTTACTGACTTTAACTTACTGAGCAAATAAATCAATAAATAAATAAAATGTGGCCTGTGCAAAAGTTATGGCACATTTTATATAATATGTTCTTATTTTTGTCCAATATGTTAAAACTCAGCAGAACAATAGATTTTATAAGGGATTTTGTACCTAAATTCTATAAAATTCTACAAAAACTGCAAAACACTAGAAAGATAAAAGACCATAGTCTAAAGGGTGCCCAAGCTTTTGGTCTTGGGGGGCCAAAGTGCAATATGCCTGGGGGTCCGAGGGCCAAAAAAACAAAACAGTGTACAAATAAAGAAAGCAGGAAGGTTTTAAATCAGGTTTTAAAAGAATATTTGCAATACTACACTGTATTTTGTCAAAACACTTAAAAAGTACCATTTCTAAAAAGGTAAATAAGAGTTTAGTAGGTTTTATATATCATCTGTTGTTTGTTTTGTCATTGGGTGGTGGTGGTGGTGGTGGGGGGGGTGTTAGGGTAACTGTGTAAAACTTTGTAAAACTAATTCCATCCCAGTAATTCTTTACTCTTACTTGATTATTTAGATTACGTTCGATTATTTAGGCGACCACTTGAGTAACTGTTATTTTAAAGTAATAATGCTGCATTTGCGTTCAGTTTTTAGCTGCTCAGCTCTGACGACTGCCTCCTTTTTTCTGCGTCTGTAAGAGGCTTCTGGTGTTTTCAAAGTCAAAAGCATCTTCCATGCAAAAAGGAAAAAAATTTTAGGGGGAAGTAGCGAAATGTCAACACCGGAATATTAATATCACCCTTTCATCTTCGGTACATTTGGTTCCCACAGAGTAACACGGAGCACACGCTCAGATTACAGAGCCAAGATTGGCCACAATATACTGGCTTTATTAATAAAACATAATAATTAACTTTATATTATTGTTTTGTTGTTATTTTATGTTTTTTAAGTTGTATTAACAGATTATACAACAGATAATATTTAAAATGCCAGCAGATACTTAAAGAATAATAACATGGTGATTTAAACAGAGCTGTAAAAGTTAATGTGTTAAGTTGTTAATGCCACAATTTTATATGCTTAACGCAGAGATCCCAACCCAAATGTTAAGAAGATCCAAAAATCTAACCACTTTGGGAGCCACAACATTTTATATACATTTTACCATCTTGGCTGTAATTATGTCTCAGTATGTGCTGATGTACTAATATAGGCTAAAAATATAATATAAATAAAACTGCAGACTTACTTTGCTCTGTTTAAAGCTTTAGCTGAGTTATAGCTACTTTTCTCACATCTCCGGCAGGAAACTTTTCTGTAAAAATAGAACAGTTTCTTGTAAAACGTCTTTCAGCATTCGACTTTTTACAAGGCTGAAGTCGCTTCTCATTCGCCAGCTTCTTCTTCGAAGAATGTAACTGCTGCACCATTTAAGGTGGAACAGGAAAATCTGAACAAGAAGCTGGCGAATGAGAAACTTCAGCTTTGCAACTTTTTAGTGTTTGACAGTGTTTTGTTGCAGATTAAACATATCAGGAAACCAGCTGGAGTGATTATAAATGCAAATAAGTCAACTCGTCTCCAAATTATCGATGTTCATCTTAAATCTCTCTCTTTGCCGTTTCGTTAGCTACTAGCTAGGCGAGACTGTTGTCTGTGTTGCTATGGTGACCAGCAGTCTGTGCTGATCTTCAGGGTTAAAGGCTGAATTAGCAGTTCTACATTAACTCCAGAGTTTAAGACCATTTATTGTTAAACTGTGTTGAACGATCAGCAGAGCTTTATTTTACTGTAAAGGAGGATTATTTTATTTTTACCTACAAATCTGATTCTGCTGTGGAGCCACAACAGGGCAGTAAAATAACCATACGTTGCCGACTCCTGGCTTAGATACACGTCATCTGCCTCTCACCGTGTGGAACTGGTGGATTGGTGTGTCCGTCTACATTCTGTGTGAAACTGACCAGTGGACACTCAGGAAATCACTAAGGACTGACCATCATGCCGGAAACCCTTCATTCTTCATTCAGTCCACATCGGAGACTCATGTGAAACGGCGTGTAGAGAGTTTACAGCTGCTGAAGCTGCTGCAGCGGTTTTGGAAAGTAGTGATGAAGATAACGAAGCATTTAGATATGAAACATATGAGGATCATGATATATGAAGAGCCTTTAAAGGAGAGTTTAACTAGATAGAACAGAGAGAACAATCCTGATCGGACAGTTTTCTGTTGGGCATTTCAAGAATTTGACTGTTGTTTTATATCGAAACTAAACAATGAATAACAAGAGAATTACTGCAATACTTAGAGAGGTAAATAATTGTGATGATTCTAGTAATTAAAAATTTTGTTTTTATCTCACAGAAATAATTAGACCTTCTCTGAACTGTTCACACTGTGGAAATCGTGATTTTCATGTTCAGGTTCTGCTTTCACATGATGAATATGTTACTGAATTATTCAGAAGTAATAAACACATTCTGATGAAGCTTATTTTGTCCAGTTTTTGTCCATAAATATCAAAGTGCACAGATTTTTAAACTGAAAAAAATCTTACTTTAGGGTCAAATTTGGGTGAATAAGACAAATCAATTGCAATTAACTACACAAAATGATGCTATTATTACCATTATCATCTGGCCACCCTAGTTTTAAGTAGTTAATCTAGAATGTTAACAGATATTGATAAACATTTCTTCCCTCTTGTGTAAAGTTACCACTTCAGAGCTGTGAGGTTTTCTTCTGACAGTGACAGTGTTTGCGCTTTGGTTAGAGGACCTTCTGTTTCCATGGTGAAGTCCAGCTGACCGATCTCTGTTTGTTTGTCAGGTGAAAGAGGCCAGTCAGCAGCCTCAGATGGCCTTCACCGTGCGCCACACGGCCGTGTCCTTCCAGACGGAGGGTGAGACGTGGCGGGAGCAGAAGGAGCGGCGGGCGGCGCTGATGGTGGGCATCCTGATCGGGGTCTTCGTCCTCTGCTGGATCCCCTTCTTCCTGGCCGAGCTCATCACTCCGCTGTGCTCCTGCGACATCCCTCCGGCCTGGAAAAGCGTCTTCCTGTGGCTGGGCTACTCCAACTCCTTCTTCAACCCGCTCATCTACACGGCCTTCAACAAGAACTACAACAGCGCCTTCAGGAACCTCTTCTCCAGGCAGCGCTGAGTGACCATGGCAGAGCGAAGGGCTGCGATGAGTCAACAAAGACGATTAGTTGTAAAACGATGTCCATTATAAACTAAAGCGCTCTACAATGTTCATATGATCCACACAGTCACTCTGACAGACTGTAATACACTACAGGAAGTGTAGGGGGCGATATGGCTTCTACTGTTTCATTTAAAAAGCCTCTATAATGTTCATATGATCCACACAGTCACTCTGACAGACTGTAATACACTACAGGAAGTGTAGGGGGCGATATGGCTTCTACTGTTTCATTTAAAAAGTGCTCTATAATGTTCATATGATCCACACAGTCACTCTGACAGACTGTAATACACTACAGGAAGTGTAGGGGGCGATATGGCTTCTACTGTTTCATTTAAAAAGTTCTATAATGTTCATATGATCCACACAGTCACTCTGACAGACTGTAATACACTACAGGAAGTGTAGGGGGCGATATGGCTTCTACTGTTTCATTTAAAAAGCTCTATAATGTTCATATAATCCACACAGTCATTCTGACAGACTGTAATACGCTACAGGAAGTGTAGGGGGCGATATGGCTTCTACTGTTTCATTTAAAAAGCCTCTATAATGTTCATATGATCCACACAGTCACTCTGACAGACTGTAATACACTACAGGAAGTGTAGGGGGCGATATGGCTTCTACTGTTTCATTTAAAAAGCTCTATAATGTTCATATAATCCTTACAGTCATTAGGGGGATTCTATTGTTTTGCATGTGGCATAACAGGTCAATTACTCGATTAACGGGGTAATAATTGATTAATCGAGTAAACAAAATCGCTAGTAGCAGGCCTAGCTGAGAGGGGTCCAGCACCCAAAAAAATCTATCCATGAGCATCTTGTTGGTCAGAAACTGGTCACTGACGAAGGATTAGAGGATTGCTGACACAAACTGTGCATCTGCTGTGCAGCAGCTACAGGGGAGGCCATAATAGACAAGCTGGCTTGTGGTAATGTAGCACAAAAATGAGAAGAACTGTATGAACTGGACAGTCCTGATACGGTTGCCGTTCTTGTGCTTGTTGTATTTACTAGCCTTCCTCGATGTCTTTATGTACAGTAAGTGTGTCTATAGCCACCACGCTGTCGGTTCTGTTGGGTAAAATTGTGAAACGTGTGAATTCACAGTACAAAAGAGGCAACAAAGCCGCGGTAAAACATCCAGCTCCAGCTCCTTCTTCAGCAGCGCCTTCAGGAACCTTTTCTCTGCCCAGCGAGAAAGAGAAGAAAGAGAATGAAGGATGACAGCCAGGGAACAGGGGAGATGATAAAAGAGGAGAGTGACAGATGACGGACAGCTGTGCTTCACTCTCCCAGCTTTTCATAGACAGAGTTACGTAAACAGAGACGCTGCTGGACTGGCTCATCTTCCTGCCCCCGTAGATCAAGAGACTCCAGAGACTTCCTGTGACTTTCTCTCCTTTTGTGTTGAGATCAAAACCTGGTGTCTGCAGAGACGTTGTGACGATGTGTCCACCGACCCTTAGAAGACCCGAGTTATGACTGTCATTTTGATATACTGTTGAATGCAATTACACAAGTATGTGGTTACATTTGATTGACATTCTGTATCGACAGGTTCGACCTTTTTTCATTTGTTTTCATGTCCAACAATGACAAAAACCGTGGCAGAAATGTAAAGGATGCTATTTATTTCCTCGAAATCAAAATAAAATATCTCTTCTTCTTCTTCTTCTTACTAATGTGGATTGGATTGAAATTTCAGAATCTGCACAAATTCTTCACTTGTTTCAGTAACTCAGTAATAATTTCTATTATCGCTGTCATGCTAAAGCCTTATCTCCATTTTTGACTTTTTCTGCATTGTGATAATATTTCATGACATATATATACAAATATTCATCTCTTCTACTTGCTGTGGTCACTTTGTACTATTCACAAAAACAATTTTTATTAGATACACCTATCTTTTACTTCCACTCACTGTCCACTTCATGAGCTCCATGAGCCAATCAGGTGCTGTGATGAGGGAGGGTGAGGTCTAAATAGCCCTATGTAGTGGTAAAGTCAGTATTTCTGATTGGAGTAGTTCCATATGTGTTGCATAGTTCAGTTAACTTTCTACCACAAACCCTATTCCCAAAAACATTGGGTGAAATGCAAAGAAAAACAGAAAGAACTGAGTTATAAATGACCTGTGTTTTGAACAAAAACAGTACAAATACAAGATATGTAATGTTTTATCTTATCAGCTTAATAGTTTTTTTGTAAATCTACGTTACTCTGAATTGGCGAGGATGGGTCAAGGCTTGTCACTTTATCAAAAATATATCAGCAAAAAATCCAACATTCTTCAGCCAGGGATCACAAGGGATTTAGGTATTTCACTCTCTATGGTGCATAGCATCATCAAAAAATTTAGGGAACCTGGAAAAATCTCTGGAAACCACAAGTAAATTCCTGTGACCTTTGACCCTCACACTGTACTGCATTAATAAACGTTTTTGTGATGGATATCGCCACATGGGCTCGGGAATACTTTGACAAACTGTCGACAATGAACATCATCCGTCACTGCATTCACAAATGCAGGTTAAGACTGTGCTATACAAAGTAGAAGTTATATCAACAATGCCCAGAAACGCTGCCGACTTCTCTGGGCTCGAGCTCATCTGAAATACACAGATGCTCAATGGAAACGTGTACTGTGATCTGATGAGTCAACTTTTCAGATTTTTTATGGAAATAATGGATGATTTGTTCTCTGGGACAAAGAAGAAAAGAACCATATTGTTACCAGTGTAAAGTCCTAATTCAGTGTGTGGGGGATATTAGTAAGTAACCTGCACATTAAAAGCACCATTAATGCTGAATACATTTTGGAGCAACATATGCTGCCTTTTAGATGCTGTCTTTTTCAGGGACATCCATGCTTATTTCAACATGACACACCACGAAACATTCTGCACGTGTTACCACAGCATGGCTGCGTAATCAGAGAGTGCAGGTTCTAGACTGCCTGCAGTCGTGAACTGTCTCCCACTGATAACGTTTGTCTTACTAAGCTTAAAAGCAACATAGGCCCCATATGGTTGTGCAGGTGAAGACTTTCATGATAGAAGAATGGCAAAAGATTCTGCTTTCAAAACTGGATCAGTTTGTGTCTTCAGTCTCCATTAAGTGCTGTTAAAGGAAAGGTGATGTAACACAGTGATAAATATGCTTCTGTTGCAACTTTTTGGAATGTGTTGCAGGCAACAAATTTGGAATGAGCAAAAATTTACAAAAAGTGATGAAATTCAGAAGGTAAAACATCAAATATTGTCGTTTTGTATAGTTTTCAATTTAACACAGGTGAAACAGAATGTACTGATCACTGCTTTCTGTTTTCACACACTGTCCCAACTTTTTTAGGAATTTGTATCATTCCAAAGCGAGGAAAGCAGAGGTGGGGACTCGAGATAATGACTGACTTGCCACTTGACTCCTGAAATTCCAGCTTGAGGTAATAAGTATATGAAAGCATCTGTAGCTGCTAGATGTTCTCACCAGCGGCTGAATTGGTTGGGTAAAAGTGTGCAATGTAAAATCACAGCACAGAGAAGGTAATGAAGTCGTCATCACAGGACTTCAGCAGTGCATCAGTATTTGATCTCTCATCATCCGCAAGTTATTGAATAAATGTGGTGAAGCAAGGAAGCTTATGAATTTATTATGTTAATTTCCTTTCAGGCATCTCTGGAGTTCAGAGCAACTGCAGCTTCAAATACTTGGCCTTCAGGGCCAGCACTGTTGGGGTTCATTTGAATTTGAAAGGTCATTAAAGCGATAGTTTGGAGAAAAATCTAATTAACCACCCTACCCAAAAGCAGTCCATCATCCAAGATGTTTGGAGCTGTGAAGTCAATGTGACTAACGAGTAACATACACAGAAATTAGCATTGTGCTGGATACATACAGCAAAGCAGAGTCAAACCATGTGGAGTTGTTAAGTAATCTCTAATGGACTTGCTTAGGTGGTTCTATATCTATATATGGACAAAATATAAGCTTGTAGAAGAGTCCTACTGACTTTAGCTTTGCTGATGTACTTTTGTCCACTTTTATAGATATCAGTGTGTCATACAGAGTCAGAGACCACATAAGCAAGACTGTTTAAAATGACATAAAAGAGAATTCAAGCCAAATTCTGCATAAATCAGTGGTCGAGATGTAATCAGAGTGATTCAGAGTGGTTTGGTGTGAAATGGTTCAGATGTCTTTACAGTGGTGGTGATAGGAACCAGGGGTCGCCATGACTACAACACAAATATAGACATTTTATTTACTATCCAGAACCACCAGTGAACCTACACGAGTCTTCTGAGTTTATATGGAATGTTGATGATGGAAAATAGTGGAAAATCTGAAATAATAAGTTTTCTTTGGGGACTATTTTGCCTCACAGCGCCCTGCATGTATCCCTCCACCATGAATGGAGTTTAAGTTCTCTAAACTATCATAAAACAGTGTCTCAGTCATCAGGCAGTGAATTCATAACCATTTCATGTAGGAACTTTCTGTAAGGGAGCTTTTAGAGGTGGACGTCTGGTTCCTATCACCACCACTGTGAACAGTTCTGACTCCAGAACAGAGCATTAACAGCTTTGTTGACATCTTGAACATTTAATTAGACAGAAATTTAACAACCTGACAAGGTCTGATGCGAGTGCATGATGATTTAGACATGCTGTTAGCGCCTTGCTAATTTGTGAAATATGGGCTTACATTACTTGTTAGCTACATTAGCCTCATAGTTCCAGTGAAAAACTAAAGAAGCCAACCTCGGACACTGAACTGATCAACTACATTTAGATTAAAGTTCAATTTAAACAAAACTATGAATATTTAATCTGGATGGCAGAATCGCAGCTCTACTCTCTTCCTTCAGCTTTCTCATTTCTCATTTCTCTGATGTTTCACAAATCCCAGCGATGCTGCGGCTACTGTTTAAGACCGATTATCCTGATAAGATTCCGTATGAATTAACAGCTTTTCAAAGCATGAAACTGAAATGGGAGACTAAAGGTCT